AGATAGACAGTCTAGATATGATGTGCGGGTCAGAAAAGATCTCAGCTTCTTGGGTATACATGTTTGTAGTTTTAAGTGAATATAATAACTATTGATTGGGTTGACTACTTAGTTGGCAGTAGGCATTTCTAGAGGTAAGTGCTTAAAACATGTGCTATTTATTTATTTATAGTCAAGCTTACTAGATTTGAAGCTTACTCAAAAGCAGTGTATTACTACCAGCTAACACAAGAGGTCAGCAAACAACCAACAATTCAAACTTAGAAATATCCATATTTAAAACATTAAAATTAAGCCAAGCATGTCATCCCAACATTCTGGAAACAGCAACAGGCAGGAGGATTAAAGTTTGCAGCTAGTCTAGGATATATAGTACAAGGCTAACCTATTAAGAAAAGAAAAACCCTGCCAGGCGGTGTTAACACACACCTTTAATCCCAGTAGATCCCAGGGAGGCAGAAGCAGGCAGATCTCTGAGTTTGAGGACAGCCTAGTCTAGAGTGAGTTTCAGGATAGCCAGGGCTACACAGAGAAATGCTGTTTCAAAAATAACAACAACAACAAAAAAGAAGTAAAGAAAAGAGAAACCCTATAGAAGAGAGGAAGTGTTGAACTCCCTTTGGCTTTGGCAGTGGGTATTGCCTTAAAATGAAAGGAAATGGTTTGAGTGAGCTCTGTAACCTCACAGTCAAGTCTTCTACATTTTATGGATTAGCCAGCTGAAATGTAGTAAAAAGTCTCCTACCTGAATGCTGCTTAACAATAATCTTATTTTTAGGTTACATTTCGTACAAGAATTTATCACTGTAATATTAATAGCCAAGGAGTTATTTGCTTGGACATATTGAAAGACAACTGGAGCCCAGCACTAACCATCTCGAAAGTCCTCCTCTCTATCTGCTCACTCCTTACAGACTGCAATCCTGGTAAGGGTCATAATCTGTACTTTATTTCTTACTAAATGAAAAGGTACTTGTTTTCCACATAAACCAAGAACCAAGTTTTCAAAGTATGTTTTAATCAAGAGTTTAACCCACTAGTTGGAAAATGCAGCCACTTTATTATTCTGTGTTCAGCACTGAGGCTGGGTGGGTGGCTCTATTGCCTCCTTGTTTAGGTGGTGGTTCAGTGAGCACTTGCCCCACAGCCAATTCTCACTTTTTAAAGAGGTATTTTTCTGCCAAGTACTTGGTGATTACAGAATTACTGGGACTAATCATTTTAAAATAAAAAGAAATTATTTCAGAATTACAATCTTACTGGGACTACTCATTTATTTTTTAAAGGATCTTTGCAAATGTAATTTTGGCATTTTTTTTTATTTTCTTTAAGATTTATTTATTATGTATACAACATTCTGCCTCCATGTGTGCCTGCAAGCCAGAAGAGAACACCAGATCTCATTATAGATGGTTGTGAACCACCATGTGGTTGCTGGGAATTGAGCTCAAGACCTCTAGAAGAGCAGTCAGTGGTCTTAACCTCTGAGCTATCTCTCTAGCCCAGGTCTAATCATTTTAAAATAAAAAGAAATGATTTATTTTTCTGCATAAACATATAAATTTAACTAGGCCTTCCATTTTCAGAGAAATACATTTAGTTGGGTGGTCTGGGTTTGGCCTTTTCTAGGTATACCGACATAATAGTGTCGATTGCACCAGCCACAGACTTCACAGCATCCACAGTGCTCTAATTGTGAGCAGAGCTGGTCCTGGCGCCTTGGGTATCCACACTTGTAAGTTTGGTCATACTCATGAAGAACAAGAGTGCCACTTGCTGGGAGAGAAGGAGAATAAGAAAATAAAGCCAGGCCACTCCGTTTTTTAGCAAGACTTTTCCTAACCTTCCTTGCTTTACTTTTTATTGAGATTAGAAGGCTGGACTGGAGAAATGGCCCAGCTATTAAGAGCAGTTGTTCTTGGAGAGAACTTGGATTCAAGTCCCACACCCACATGGCAGCCCACATCTATAGCATCCATACACATAAATCTTTTCAAAAACTGTTTTTAATGATTTGAAAACACCATGGTGTTTCAGACATAGGGCATGGTTATAACTGCTGTGTGTTTATATCTAAAGTATCTGATTTTCTTTCTCCAAAGTAATCTACCTATTTTTCTTCCAGCTGACCCTTTGGTGGGAAGTATTGCCACTCAGTATATGACCAACAGAGCAGAACACGACAGAATGGCCAGACAGTGGACCAAGAGATACGCTACATAAACTGGGTTTTCAGTTCTTCCATTATCTGTCTGTCACAGAAGAGAGCTGCTTATGATTTTGAAAGGGTGGGGGAGGGTGGGAGTTGGTAAAGAGTAGGGTATTTCTATAACAGATATTATTCAGTCTTACTTCCTAAGATTTTGTTGTAACTTAAGGTATCTTGCTACAGTAGACAAATTGGTAATAGTGACTTTTAGAGCTGTCAGTTTTGCAAGATTAGCTGACTTTTAGTACAACAGAAAAGAATGTATGTGTAGACACTTGGGTTCCATTGATTGTAGTCTACTGTAATTTCAAAATCAGCTTAAATTTGTATAGGTTACACACATGGCCATTTATGTAAAGTCCTATTTTCTTGTTTAAAAAAGTTTGAATTTGTTTTTCTTAGAAGGAAACAATGGTATTTAACAGTTTGTAGAGATTGTTACCTCATATAAATATAAAATGGACACCTGGCTATGAGATACCATGTAGGAAACGAGTAGTTAATGTATTTTATTTCATTTGCAAATTAAAGGTTGAATCAGGATTTGTGGAAACCTGTAGTGAAATACCTTAAGCTGTTAACCGTAGGCGTGGAATAGCAAATGCTCAGTGGACTGGTTATGTGTTTTAGACTTCTTACGTCTGCATTTGTTACTGTGCTAATAAACAATATTAAGAACAACCCTGACCCTTCTATATTCATTGCCTCTCTGGAGTCTTTGCTTCTGGAGCAGGTTAAGGAATACATGCTACTAACATATGCCAGGACAGGTACTTACACGCAGATTTGGAGGGATCTTAAAAAAAAAAAAAAAAAATAGAATTGGGCATGGTAGGGCACACCTTTAATCCAGGAGGCAGAGGCAGGTAGTACTCTGTGAGCAAGTTCCAGGACAGTCTTCAAAGCTACACAGAGAAACTCTGTCTCGAAAACCCAAAACCCAATAGGCAGTCAAAGTCAGCTAAGCTTCAAAGATAAACTTGCTCCCTGTTTCTGAAAGCATTATCTGATTTGCAGATGCAATGGCAGTGGGCACATAAGAAATGAGTTGCCCTGGTCAGTTGGTGCTACCACCTTGCACGGCAGTTTCTCTGACTCAGTAGTACTGCTGCTGCAGTTTGTGGGTGGAGGCCAGAGGATTAGAGATCAAGGTCATCCTCAGCAATACACTGAGTTTGAGAGTAGCCTAGACTACCTGAGATCATGTCTCAGAAAAAGGAAAGCTAACCCAGGAGATGTTTACTCTTATCATTTTAAAAACATGGTAACTAATTCCATTGTATTAAAGCATAAGATCTAAATGCAGTCAAGAGAAAAAAATAGACTGCTTGTCAGGGATCTATATACAATACCTAAGAGGAAAAAGCTAATAGATACATACCTTGAAGGGCAGGCTAGAGAAGTGACATAATATCCATGTGATAATTAAAAAGGAGAAAAAAAGTTTTTTGTTTTTTTGTTTGTTTGTTTGTTTGTTTTTAAAGAACCGGCCAAGATTGGGCATAGTGGTACATACCTTTAATCCTAGCAGAGGAAGGCTTTGAGTTCAAGGCTGGCCTGGTCTACATAGTCCAAACAAGCCAGGGTTATATAATAAGACCTTGTCTTTAAAGGGAGATGGCAGGGCAAACCTGATTGTCTGTAATACCAGTATTCAGGGTTGTCTAGGGCACAAGGATTCCACCTAGGTAATTTATTAAAACCCTTTCTCAAAAGTAAAAAAGTTAATGACATGTGTGTGAAACCTTGGGTTCAGTCTGCAATACCAACAACAAAAAAAGCCAACAGCACTAATGCTGATGTGTAGTAGTATGCTATACTCACTGGGCTGAGATGACTACTGTTAAAACCATACTTTACTTGTTGTCTTAATACGTTCTCTACTATAACTTATTTCATATTTTGCTTTTCAGTTAAATGGTTAAAGTTGGTTTATAGCTGAAACCTCCAAGTAGCTTATTTCCTAGTTCTTAGTATAGTGCTGTCAAGCTTTTTAACAGTTACCACACTGTTTGAATTTTGCTAAGATCTTCCATAAACTACAGTACAAACTCAGATAAATATTTAAGAATAATGGTAGCTCAGTGTCTGACATATTCTACTGTACATGACAAGGTTATCAGAAGGAAAGGGGTGTTTTATCTCAGCCTAGCCATTTTCAAAAGAAGATCCTCTAGTATTTGGTTTTATCATCAGCACAGGCCTAGCTATAGAATAAAAACAGGGTTCTGAATATGACAAGACTACTTATCCTAAATTTAAGTTCTGTTATACTTCAATTCATGTACATCCAAATTGTTATTGATATACTTAGGTACACAAAACAGCTGCCACATTTTAAATCTTAGACATTAGATAATTAGCCTTTAAAACTTTAAAATACTTTATGTATATGAGTGGTTTTCCCTGCATGTATATATGGACACTGTCCATGCAGTACCTGAGGAAGGCAAGATTGGATCCCTTGGAATCAGTTACTGGTGTTTGTGAGCCACCAAGTAGGTACCAGGAATTGAACCTGGGTCTTCTGTAAGAGCATCAGTCTTAACTACTCAGCAATCTCTCCAGTCCTGATTAATCTGCCTTCCCCAGTGAAAGGGTGCTTGCCATGCAAATCCAGCAGCCTTGGAACTCACTTGACCCCTGGAACTCACCAACAGATGGAAGGAGAACTGACTGCATACACACATACCACATGCACACAGTAATAAACGTTTTTGAAGTTATGTTCACACTAAGGAATTTGCATAAAATTACAATGAATATGACAGTTCCTAACAGGCTGGAAGGGTACCCATGGTACATTGCATACTCTCTAAATTTTATTTTACTATTAATGACAAGTGCAACATAAGTAACAAAGATGTTGATTTCAAGAACAGGTTTCAAATAAAGACAAATATGTTCAACAATAATAAACTATCCCAATAAGTTAATTATAACATAAAGTGCATTGAATTACCACTTTAGGAGTTCCATAAGGCCCAGAGGTGGTTTTGTAAAGGGCCGTGTTAAATTGTAGCCTTGTGCCATGCTACAGACATTCAAGGCTTGACTCAGTTTTCAGAATTGGAGTTCCCTTTGTTTTTCCTCCCTGGCAGAGGGAAGCTGGATTTGCTCTGGGGCTGGGAAAGCTTGCTGGCTAGTAAAGTGAAGGGTTCAATCAGTGTCCTCCGATCTGTCACTGTCACCTCCCACAGTTTCACTTTTTCACTTTTTGCCCACTGCTGTGCCACTTCAGCATCCACTTGTCTTTGCTCAGAAAGGTCGAGTTTGTTTCCTAACACAACAATTGCCACCTGAAAGAAAATGATGAAAAGACCACACTAGTATAGGGTCAGTAACAGTTTCTATGCAAAATGGGTAAGTAAGAATCGCTCTTCCATTTGGCAGACTGCTTTACTTAAATAATACTGAGGTGATGAGAGTCAGTAATCTCAGCTGCTCTGGAGTTGAGGCAGGAGGAGTGCAAGTTCAAGGCCAGCTTGGGCAACTTAGACTGTCAAAAACAAAGTTTAAAAAATAAAAGACTGGGGACGTAGAGAACTTAACAAGTATAAGGCCTTAGGTTAGTCCACAGTACTAGGCTGGTGGAAGCATCCTCAGACATGACAGAAATAAGAGAAGGCATCACCTCACTTCTTTTCCTGAGTCATACAAACAGTCAATATTTTTAACTACTGGTTAGCTGACTTGGAAATTACCATCCAGTCTAGGACCATGGCTTACCATGACTACACTGCTTTAAGGTAAAGACACTGCAGAGCTACGAGTTCTGTAGCTCTAGAGGCAGTGTGTTCCTGGTTATTCTGTCCTTAAAAGGTCAGAACTACTACTGTCCTACTAAATATCCTGTGAATTGTAAGCCGGAAGGAACATTTTACACTAAGTACAAGTAAATCATGCATTTAACTACCCAACAGGCAGTCCTTGGCATGACTAGAACATAGTAAAGAACCACAGTGCCGAAGCCCCCCAAAAAGGGCAGGAGGCAGCCCTCAGATTGTAAGGCCAGTGGAGGAAGGGATGGGGGAGTTGTTGGGAATAGTCCTGAGCAGAGCACTGAACCACAGCTGTCCCTGGCCTCTAGGGAAGGCCTGAGCTCTGGGCATGTCTCCCACTACTGCTGAGTCTCTGGAAGAGGCAGTGTAGTTAAGGTATGTAGTACCCCAGTGGTGTTCCAACAGAATCTGCCTTAGTTAGGGTTTCTACTACTGTGATAAAACACTGATCAAAACCAGCTTGGAAGGAAAAGGGTTTATTTCAGCTTAACAGGTCCCAGTCCATTACTGAGAGAAGTCAGTGTAGGAACTGAAACAGGAAATTGAGGAGTACTCTTACTGGCTAGCTCCCCATGTCTGCTTTCTCAAAGCACCCAGTACTACACTCAGGAATGTCACTGACCATTATGAGCTGGGCCCTCCCACATCAATTAAGATGATGCCCTACAGACCAGTCTGGTGGGGGCACTTTCTTGAGGTCCCCTCTTCCCAAATGACTGGCTTGGGACAGAGTCCTGTCCTAACAACTTCTGCAGAACGTTAGTGCCCCTAGTCCAACACACTCACCTACCAAGCCCCCACTCACATGCTGTTGCCAATCACAGGCTAATTTCATGGTCACCCCATCATGACTGTGGTCATCGTCCCTAACAATGTCACTCCTTCCTTATGTACATGCTTCCATAACCTGGACTCTTGGTTTTGACTTTTCTGATGATCACATTTCCTCCTGATCAGTCATTCCCTGCCATGGTCACTCCCTTTCCTGATTTCAATTCCACACCAACCCTACTTCCTCCTTATGCCTAACTGCAGCCAGTGCTACTGTCACTAGGATGCACCCTCTAGCTCTGCTACCTCTAGCTGCAGTCTACCTCACATCCCCAAAGTCCCTCATCCAGCCCAGAGTATTTTCATCACCCTGTTCTAGTTATACCACCACATTCCCGATAAACCCTATGTTAAATTCCACTCTTCACCCTCCTTCAGGGGGGGGGGGGGGGGGGGG